GGGGCCTAGCCTGCGGATGTTAGTCAGGTGGTCACCCATCTTATTGATGAGTCTCACCTCCTCATCCAGGAAATGGTTCTCCGGGAAGTCACAGAGATGAGGGTCCTCATGGGCAGAACCCCGGGCCTACAGAGCCAAAAGGGCCTGGTTTAGGCTCTTTTCCAAGGGCCAAGGCTGCTTCCATGGTGTCCTGAGTTTTACCCCACTCATCTTTGGAAGGCTTCGCCAAGTCCTAGAGGAGAATGTGGCCACCATGCTGGTTTTGGAGCTTTAAGAGACGCTCAGAGCCCTCGCACTTTTTCTCGGCCGACTCTTGGAAGACGTGGCCCACGCCGTGCAGAGCCACATCATCGTGGTCGAAATAGAAGCCCAGAGAGAGGTAGGTGTAGGAGGCCCCCAGAGGCAGGTTGGCCAGGCAGTTGACAGCAGCCTCCACCTCAGTGGAATAATTCTGACGAATTTGGGAGCTCATGGTTGTTTGGGAATGAAGAATTAAGGTCAAAAAAACGGTGTTGTGTCGGTTGGTCTCAGAGGCTGAGGATGGCTGAGGTAGTTTCAGAGGTGGCGACCAGAAAAGAGGATAGAGGATAGTTGGAAATAGAGGGCGTTTCTATGTCTGTTCCGTCCAAACCCTGTTGAAGTAAGAGATAGATCCCAGCACCACCGAGGGCACTGGATGGATGAAACTCCAGAAGTGCTTGTTTCGCAGTCCAGCACCCAATCCACTGAGCCACAGCAGCCAGGGTGGTCTTAAGAAGTGTTAAGCATAGACAATAAATACATAGTTTATGAGACAGAGGTGAAACTCATAGAATTGTTAATACTGAGTAAACTAGTAGCACGTGCGACATATGCCAGATTCATAACATGTGTCTAAATAGATAGTAAGTAAAACAGTAACCTGTAAGATAGAAAAATAGTTATTAGTTACAGAATAAAAAGAGCGAGTCATGATCATATCATCTATAGACTAACAACTGTGTCACCCCTAAACAAGTCACCTATTAGTGGCACTCACTACTATCCCCTTTTGGTCCCACATCTCTACCTTAGAAATCCAAATAAAATTTATGGTTGTCCACAAGGCCAATTGACATGCTACAGCTAAAACCAAGCCCATTTCCCTGGCAGAATCAGTGTGTCCTTGGTACCTTGCACTTTCTGTCTGGGGGCCCTTTCTTCAAACTTCATTTTGGTTTTCATAACCACCCCATCAATGGGGAAATGGAGAGACAGGACATATGAACACTGCGGAGATAAGAAAACCATTCTTCTTGACCCCATTAAGGTTCCTGGCTGGGTCTGAAGATTAAACTGATAAAGGCAGATTAGCAGGAGAAAAACATATAAATTTATTTAATGTAAGTTTTTACATGACACAGGAGTCTTCATAAGGAAATAAAGACCTGAAAGAAATGGTTAACCTGAGTGTTTTTATGCTAGGTGTGATGAATGGAAAGCCAAGGAAAGATATGATAAAGAGTATGTACTAAGGGTAGAAAGCTGGGAAACTGAACAAGGCCTGTTCACCTGGCTTCTCAGTTTCCCAGTTGTAAAGATAAGGATTTCTGCTCTTCAGGTATAGAGAGGGCCTCTCTCAGTGAGGCTTTTATGACTTGCCTCCAGGGAGAAGGTCGAAGGAAGATCAGAGAGACTTTCCTGTTTCAGCTGTTTTCTCAGACTCCTTCAGCTTAACATATTCAATTGCACCAATGTATCATATTTCAGGGTAGCATGTCTTGAACTGTATCAATTTATCCCTTAATTTGGGAAGTAAAAATACTTCCCCTTAGCTTGTGTCCTATTCTTAAAAACAAAATTAAGGTCCTGGCAGGTAGCTCAGTGTGTTAGAGCGTTGTCCCAATACACCAAGGTTGCAGGTTTGATCACCAGTCATGACTCGTACAAGAATCAACCAATAGCCTTGGCTGGTGTGGCTCAGTGGATTGAGTGCCAGCCTGAGAACCAAAGGGTCACTGATTCAATTCTTGGTCAGGGCGCATGCCTAGGTTGTGGGCCAGCTCCCCAAATGGGGCAAGAGACAACTGATCAATGCATCTCTCATGCATGCGCATCAATATTTATCTCCCTTTCTTTCTCCCTCCCTTCTTCTCTCTAAAAATAACAAAATCTTTTAAAAAGAAAAAAAAAGAATCAATCAATGAATGCATAAATAGTGGAACAATTGATGTCTCTTTCTCTGTTTCTCCTTCCATCTCTCTTCCTCTCTCTCTAAAATCAACAAATAAAAATCTTTTAAATAAAATAAAAAATTCAACTGACTAAATTTGAAAGATCTTATTGGCTTTATTCAATGATTCATGAATTGGGTAGCATCCAATATAGCAGATAGAAAGGAGCTGCGAAGAGCTACACAAGGAAAGAGACTTTATAGGCAGATGGGAGCGGATATAAGGAAGTTGTATTAGACCAAAAAAGCAGGTAGTTTATTCCAAAGTTACTTTATAGCATGGTTGGGGTCTATTGGGCAGATTACCTAACTACTGCTGATCACGACATTCCTGATTAACTGGTTTAAAATTCCACTTCTGAACCCTGGCCAGGTCGATCAGTTGGTTAGAGCCTCGTCCCACCACACTAAGTTGTGGGTTTGATCTCCAGTCAGGGCCCATGCAAGAATCAACCAATGAATCCATAAATAAGTGGATGTTTTTCTCTCTAGAAATCAATAAATGAATATTTTTTAAAAATAAAATAAAAATTCCATTTCTGAGAGAACCGAAACTAATGAAGTCTAGGTTTGGTGATATGAAGTTTAGCATAAGTAACTCTATTTGGGGCCTGTTGTCTAGTTTTTAACTTTCTAAATCTGTTTGCTTACCTCATTCCTTTCACCTTGCTTTTTTGCTCTGTTTTAAATTGACATTAAAAACTTTTTTATATGAAGATCATTTGAGATCTTGCTCCCCAGCATATGTTGTCAGTTTGGCAAAAATAAACACTTGGGAAAATTAAAAAACAAAAACAAAAACAACCTTGTGTTAGTATGTTTTTCTTTTTCTTTGGAACCCTTCTGTCCAGGGCTGACTTTCAATAGATCACAGCGAGGAAGCTGCTCTGCTTGGTAGGAAACCCCGACCCAGAAGCAGGTCATCTGGGAATGATTTAGCACCAACGAATGGTGCTGTTGGGCGAGAGGGCGGCCCCTTTTCTGGCCACGCCCCCAAAACAACGTTTTAATATGATCTCTTGAGCCCTTCTGTTTGATGACCTTTCTAATAGCTTACCTGGTAGGGTTTTTGTAGCAAGTTAATTTCCTGCAAGGGGAAGGAACATATGTAGGTGGTGGCATTTTTTAGAAACTAAATGTCTAAAAATGTTCCATGCTTGCTCAATAGTTTGCCTGAGTACAGAATTTTAGGTTAGAAATCATTTTCTTTCAGAAATTGGAAGGCACTTCTCCATTATCTTCTAGCATCCGGTGTTGTTGCTGGGGAATTTGAAGCCATTATATTTCCTGATCTTAGATTCTCATTTTTTCCTATCTTTTTTCTCCTATTTTTTCTCCTGTTCATGGTTTTGCTTTACTTATTAAGAAAATATCTTTGATTTTATTTCCAAACCTCCCCCCCACCCCATTTTTTGTTCTTAATATCAAACTTCTAACTTCCAGGCATACTTTTTCTGCTCTCTGAGTTTTTCTTTTTAAAAAAGAGCATCCTGCTGTGATTGGGTAGCTTAATTAACTATATATCATCACCCTGATACAGCAAGGTTGTGGGTTCAATCCCTAGTCAGGTCACATATAAGAAGCAACCAATGAATGCATAAGTAAGTGGAACAACAAACTGATCTCTCTCAAATCAATTTTTTTAAAGATTTTATTTATTTTTAGAGAGGGAGAAGAGAGGAAAACATCAATGTGTGGAATATACACAGATTGGTTGCCTCTTGCACACCCCTAACTGGGGACCTGGCCTGCAGCCCAGGCATGTGCCCTGACTGGGAATTGAACTGGCGACCTTTAGGTTCAAAGGCCGGCACTCAACCCACTGAGCCATACTAGCCAGGGCAATTTTTAAAAATTTTTAGCCCTGGCTAGTGTGGCTCAGTGGATTGAGTGCCAGACTGCTAATTAAAGGATCGCCAGTTCCATTCCCAGTCAGGACACATACCTAGGTTACAGGCTAGTTTCCAGTAGGTGGTATGTGAGGGGCAACCACACATTCATGTTTCTCTCCCTCTCTACTTCCCTTTCCTCTCACTCTAAAAATAAAGTCTTTTTGAAAAAATAAAAATAAAAATTTTTAAAAGAGCATCCTGTGGGGTGGTGAACACAATACAATGTACCGATGATGTATTGTAGAAATGTGCACCTGAAACCTAGATAATTTTGTTAGCCAGTGTTACCCCAATAAATTCAATAAAAGCGGGGAAGAGTATCCTGTTTATTTCAAAAATATGTTGATGTTTTTAATCTCTTGAGAAATAGTTTTCTTGACATGTTCTCTTATAGTCTTTTCAGGTTGCTTTATTCTGTTTGGCATATTTCGTCTGTTTATTGCTTATGCTATTACATTTGTTCTCGCTTCTTTTCCCCCTTTTCCCTCTTCCACCCAGCCCCACCCTCTCCCCTCCCTCAGTTAATCCCATATTTTGTCCCTGTCCAAGGGTCATGCAAAATGTTCTTTGGTTAATCCCTTCACCATTTTTCATCCAGTACCCACCTCCTCCCCATTCTGTTTGACTCTTTTTAAAAAGATTTTATTTATTTATTTGTAGAGAGGAAGAGGGAGAGAAAGAGAGGAAGAGAAAGATTGGTTGCCCCTCAACCGCCCCCCCAACCAGGGACCTGGCCTGTAACCCAGGCATGTGCCCTGACAGGTGATCAAACCAGCGACCCTTAGGTTTGTGGAAAGAAGCCCAACCCACTGAGCCACACCAGTCAGGGCTGTTTGACGTTTTTAGCTCATCTTTTGAATTATAAAGGAAAAACATGTTAACTAGAAAGGTGTTATAAGTTTTTAAATTTTTTTTTCTAGAATATGGAACGCCCACGAATTTGCATGTCATCCTTGCCCAGCCATGCTAATCTTCTCTGTATTGTTCCAATTTTAGTATATGCGCTGACAAAGTGAGCACAAGTTTTTAAAAATTTTAAATCTGGTCTTTTTAAGCATATTTAGGGATTGTCTTTCTGAACTGTCCTCTCAGTATGTTTATCGTCTGTTGCTTTTTGCTCAGCTTCTGTCATGTTCAAGTAAACTGAAACTTCACCATCTACACCCCATACCTACCTATAGCTCTGCTTCTCTCACCTTTTTCTTAAACCTGAATTTCTTGAGTGAGAGGGTATATCAGTCCTTTTCACTGTCTCACCTCTTAATCTTAATTCTCCTGCAATGAGATTTTTGCCCTCACTTCTCCAATGGAAGTCTCAGAGACCATTGTAAGAGAGGGTCCCAGGGCAAAAGGGTGAATAGCCAAGAGATGAGGAACAGGAGTAGAAAAAGTTAAGTGCCACATAAAGCCATGCTGCTTAAACGTAAGCACTCATCTGAATCGCCAGTTAAAATGATGATTGATTGGTAGCCCCTGCCTTTGATTCAGTAGGACTGGGTTGGAGCTCGATAATTTCTAATCACATCTAACAAGTTACCAGGTGCTGTTCATGCTGCCTGCTTGGAGGCCACACTTTTGAGAATCATGTTGAATGAAGTGTTGTGACACAGCATGTTTTATTTTGTTGTTCTTTTTCTTTCTTTTTTCTTTTTTCTTCTTTATTTTTTGTTGTGACATAACATGTTTATGGCTAGTCCTCAAAAATCCCCTACAAACATATTTCTTGATCATAATTTCAACTCTCGCTTTTTACTAAAAACAAACACGATGGCTTTTGCGTATTTTCTCATAGTTCTCAGCTAAACAGGGAATGGCGAAGGTGGCACATTGAATAGTAGATGGGAAAAAAAAGACTGGGACAGCTGGAGACTCAGTCTACCCCACTGTGGAAGATCAGCATTTAAGTTTGGTGCTTTTTGCCAGAATTCAATACAAGAATTTGCACGGGGTTAGGGGGGAAACAATTTATAAATGTAATTAATTTTAGTTGCTTACAATTTTTTTTCCCTTTTATACTAAGTATTTATTTGTATGACGCTGCCAGTGTATATAAAATAATCATCCTTGTGAAGTAGAAATTCATGAAAATTCAGAGAGGTAGATGTTAAGGACTGACAAAAGCCGAAGTTTGTATAGTGTGGCACGTGTTACAGGGATAATAAGCTTTTTGTACAGGCTTCAAATTTAGCTCTCTTTGAATATTCACTGGTTCATGAAAAGTGGTTTAGAATACCTTCAAAGATTCATTTCATTACAAGAAGGAACAAACTTTCTGGGGTCTGAAGGGATTGGTACTTGAAGATACTCCAGTTAGCAGGGGGTCATGTTGGGCATTCTGCAGACAGAATTGTTTCAAATCTGCAGCTGCCTGGGAAACCTTCACGCGGTTGAGCCCGGCCTCCAGCCGGAGCTGCTGTACCACTTTCTTCATAGCGGTGACACTTGAGGAACCAGACATGGTGCACGCGACAACTGGGCCTACTTGGTTGTGAGTCCGCCGGACCAGACAGCAGGGCAGCGAAGCCAGAGGCCTGCTTACAATTTTTTTTTTTTTTTAATGAGAGAGAAGAGAAACACCAGTTGGTTGCTTTTCATGCCTGCCCCAGCCAGGGATGGAACCTGCAACCTAGGTATGTGCCCCGACTGGGAATTAAACACACAACCTTTCAGCATATGGGACGGTGCTCCAACCAACTGAGCCACACCATGCTGCTTTTAAATGTATAGTTTATAAAACAAACAAAAATTACAAAGCTAAAATACACATCCATAAAACATTGAGCTAATAAGCAGACACCTATGTCTCTTCTACTTTCCCTCACCAGCAGACTTTCCCTTACAAGCATCCAAAGATTTAAGATAAGTCAGAGAAGGAAAAATTTAAGGAAACTTTCTCAGTTAACTTAATTGGGTGTTAACCCAAAACCGGGGGAAATGGCCCTGTTCTTCTCTGCTCTAAAACACTTAAAGCACAGTTCTCAAACCAGTAGACATCTCCAGAACTAGAATTTGAAAAAACAAAACTAAACTAAATTTTAAGGCAACCTGAGGGAGACACAACGGCAGAGGCTCTAGGTAAACTTCCCGGCCTCCTTGACAGAGGGCCAGATTACGGTAATGCAGAGCAGATGAAGATTCACCTATCAGTTCCACAGGACTACTCCCACTCGCTGTAATCCCTTTAATCAGCAGCATTTACATTAAAATAGGCCGGCTGATTGGTTTACCTGTGTTTTAAAAGGAAACTGGACGGAAACTTTTAGGTTAGCTCTTTCTTTCACGCTTTGTTGGAATTTGGCATTTTTCTTGCCTTTCCTGAGCTTTAGGGTTCTTTCTGGGCTACTTTGTAGCAATTTGAGAGTTTCAGGTATCATCTTCTACTGAACCTTTTGGGGAGATCTAGGAGGAGTTTAAGACTGTGACTAGACATCCAATGGACTCACCAAAGAAGCTTAACCCAACCGGGACCCTGGAGTCTTCTCAGACGCCCCATGAAGAATGTTCAGGTAAGCCAGATGGTGCCCTTTTTGACTACAACAGGTAGGGGAAGTTAAGAGGCTGCCTCCTTTCTTATATTAATGTCAGTGTTTTGTTTTTGTTTTTTGAGAGAGAGAGAGAGAGACATAGATTTGTTTTTCCACTCGTATACGCATTCATTGGTTGATTCTTCTACGTGCTCTGACCCGGCGCAGGGGTGGGGGGACCCGGAGGAACCGGGGCGGGGGTTGGGGGGGACCCGGGGGACCTGGAGGACCCGGGGAGGGACACACCCATGACCTTGGTATATCAGGATGACACTCTAACCAATGGAGCTACTTGGCCAGGGCTTGACTTTAGTCTTTTAAAGAAGAATACAGTTAAGTAGGCCCCTCCAGTGGAAGGCGGAGGGGAGCACAGAGAACAAGGGAAAAAAGGGGGGAAGGGTATTAAATGTGTTACTTGCTTACTATGCTCAGGAATACTTGAATTTTTAAAGCCCGGTTTCTGGGGAACAGCAACCGAAATTCTGCTAGAACGGGGCTCGTAACATCTTGCAATCAGTATTTTCATCAGCAACACATGTCAAGAATGGTAAAAAGAAAAAATACATGAACCCTAAACTTCAGTGTAACCTAGAGATTTTTAATTTTACTAGCATTTTAGGGATTGGCCTTCTAACTAAATCTATCCTTTAGGAATGTTAATAAACAAGGAAATGGCTTTTCAGGGAATAGAAGAAAGGAACCATTTTATAAAAAGCCAGTGGATGTGCTCCAGGTCGTCCACCGCCACCACCTACAAGCCCAGCCCTCCATTAGTTGGGATAATAGGATTTCTAAGGAGTGACTAAGCCTGGGATTGGGTGTGGCTCCAAGAAAAATTACACCAGCGAAAGAAGGTGGGAAGGTGGGGACCAGACTAGCAGTATCCCTGGCGCTCTGCTTCTAAGAAAGTCCTAACTGATGTTATACAGCGCACTCACTGGTTTATACTATATAGCACATTCACTGACTGCCTTATTGTATGACATGAGTATGCACTGGATATACATAATGGTTTGGATGAAAGAGGCAAAAACTAAGTGGTTGGTTTCTGAAAACACTGGGTTTGAGTAGAAAGATTTACTACTGTGAAAAAGCTGGGTATAACTGGAAGGCTTAACAGCCCTTTCAACTTCCTTGCTTAAGGATGGGAGAGACTGTTGGAAATGGGGTTTCTTGTGCTATTTCGCCAGCGTGGTTTTTTTTCCAGAAAAATTTCGCAGGTTTATTTATAATTGTTGTAAAGTTGAACCGCTGAAACTTGTTCACTGAAATATTTTTGACTTGTATTAATACTTTACCTCCCTCATTTTGATTAATAATTCACACAAATAAAAATGGAATAATGGCCAATACCTGATCTCTGTCCCATATTTTTCCACTTGGAATCATATACTTAGCTACTTTTGACCCTATGAAAAATATATTCGTAACTACGAATACCAGGAAAATAAGAAAATTTTTGAGAACAAAATGTTTCTCATAGTAGTAGATTCTTAAAGCATCTCCTCAATGTAGGCTTTCAACTGTGCAGTGTGTGAGACTAGCACAGTAGGTAACGCAGGGGTACACGGGGTCCTCCGCCCTGAGGCGCCACCCCTGCCCCCCGTCCATGTTTACCTGTGTAAGAGCAGACCTAGTTTGAGCCTGAGACTAGTGACTTTGGAATAATGCAGTTTATCCTAATGGATCTTAAATTTCTCTTTTCTTTCAGCTAACACTCAAGCTGTCTCAGAAGTACTAGCGAAGGACCTTGGGAAATTGACTCTCAACCCTAGTACTAAATTCCCTCCCCTTCTACCAGAAAGTTCACCCAAACAGCAGGACAAAGGAAAAAGCTTACAGGGGCTTGGACTGGGGCTGAGTCAAGGCCTGCTCTACAGTAGGAGGCGTGGAGTGAGGACATTGGCGACTGCTCGGAGAGAAAGGATGCAAAGGATGTTACAAGTTATTAGATACCGCACCCTGTCTCTGGTGAGTTTATGTGATCTGAGCAGACAGCTCTGTCCAACTGCAGGGTGTGGTTGGGGAGGGACACTCATAAATTAAGATGTAAATAGTGATGATTAGCAATTACTCATCAAACAACACTCATGAGTGCAGGGTGTGAATAACATGTTTCTCCAACTTCTCTTTTATGGAAGATGATTAACATTAATGACCCAACTTTTTCTTGATAGTTTTTAATACCTGTATTTTTTTTTTTTTCTTTCCCATGAAGCTTCAAAAAGACCCACAGGAGAGGAAACTTGAGGTAAATAGAAATTTTCTTACTATACATTGTTACATGGCTTTTGGTGTTTTTGTTGTTGTTTTGTTTTGTTGCAGAAGGGGAAAGAGGAATTGATTGGCTTGGACTTTCTGAATCACCAGGAACTATGAAAAAAAAATCAGCTCATCTTCATACCTAAAAATAGTCTGTTTTTTTTTTTGAAGAGCAGTTTTAGTGGGGGTTGGAAAGTAGAAGTGGGAAAATGGAGACTGTACTTGAACAAAAGTGGAAAAAAATAAAATAAAAAAAGGAGATTTAGGCTCACAGCACAGCAAAACTGAACAGAAAGTACAGAGTTCTCCTGTATCTCCTGACCCCACACACTGTCTTCTCCACTATCAACATCACACACAGAGTGGCACAGTGTTAAGTCTATAGTTCACATTAAGTTTCACTCTTGGTGTATATTTACTTTTTTTCCTCTTAAGATTTTATCTTTAGAGAGGGGGAAGGGAGGGAGAAAGAGTGGGGGAGAAGCATCCATCAGTTGCCTCTCACATGCCCCGTAGTGGGGACCTGGCCTGCAACCCAGGCATGTGTCCTGACTGGGAATCCAACTGCCGAGCTTTTGGTTTCCTAACCAGCTCAATCCACTGAGCCACACCAGCCAGGGTGTTTTGTTTACTTTTTTATATGCTGTCACAAACACTATGGTCATGATAATACTGTGTAGTTTTCGACAAATAACTGAGCACAGAGTGTCCAGCCGCAGAATGAATTCCTTATATTTAGGGCATTCAGAAAACCAACACTAGAATTTATTTATATTGGTTGACAACAGGAGCTCTTACGATTACAAAATGACCCATACTCTGGCAGTCTTTGGTACCCATACATTTAAATCCTGCCTCCCTTTCCCCCCCCCAAAAAGGATTTGTTTTTTGACCTTTTTTTTTTTTAGCTTATCACATTCCAAAGGCTATTCTAATATCATATCTGAGGGTGCAATTAATCCTTTCGTTACTTTTATTAATCCAATTAATGCATTTCATTTTTTTCAGATTGAATCGAGATCCAGAAGATTTAGATGTAGCTGTCGCTATTGCCTATATCATGGAGATCCTTCTGATAATATTACCATGGAGAATAATTATGACATGGAGTCAGTTTAGCCATAAAATTTACTCTTGTACTCTTTTTTTCTTACTGGTAATTTTAAAGTTACTATGCAGCAGCTTAGGAAAGCTACTCTTATGCTAGGATAGACTGTAGACCAATATTTTGATAGCCTATGATAGAAGTTCTATGATGTCTTTTTCTTGCATCTCTTGTCTACTTGTCTACATTAATGCCTGTAACTTATAGGGAATCTATGTAGTTTGCATTTGAATGACTATAATACACTTAAGTTCCTTTTTTTATTTCACCCAAGGAAGCACTAATAGATCTGTTACCATTGTGTTTTAGAAGCCTTAAGTTGGTAAGATGAAACCCAACATCAAGGATTTGAAGCAAGTAACTTGTGCAGAAGGAATGTAAAAGAAAAAAACATTGGGTGGTTTGGCTCAAGCACGTAGGGTGTGTTAATTAGATTCTCTAGTTTTCAAAACTTTGGATTGTAACAAATGTTTTCATGTGCTATTTCAATTTTTAATAGCAAATAAATGTGTACATAGGGCATCTTATTAAAATTAGAGGTGCTGTTGGGATCTTTTAAAAGTAGTTCTTTATTCTTGTTCTTAGTCCTTATTTAATACTTGTTTTTACTAGCAGTGAATAACCTCATCACACTTCTGTGGTATAAATCTCTGGAATTCTAATATTTTGTGATATTTTCCTACTGGGAAGGAACTTGACACATTTGGGTGAGGTTAGAAAACAAGGGCACAGATATTTGCACATCAGTTTCCTGGAAAAGATAAAAATGAGGAAGTATAAGTTTTTGTTGAAGAAAAATGAATATGGTAGCGGTATGTAATACTAAGGGAAGATGTCAGGTTATTTTCTTTTTTTCATGACCTATCATCTACACAGACCTGCATTTCTTGGGGATATAAAAGATACACAGTCATACCTCGGTCCTCGTCGGCTTCAAAGTTCGTCAAACCCTGTACTTGTTGCATTTTGACAAGAAAAAAATGTTCCTGCTCTCAGCACTTGGTAGAACTTCTGTGAGTCACGATGCTGCCCTGCAAGAGAACGTTTCACCACTTGCTCGGTACTGGCCAGCTTTGGGACTCATCACGCGTTCCAGAAGGCATTAACGAGGGGTACCGAGGTGCCACTGTCATGTGTTTGAGGTGTTTTGTTCATCTAGAGACCCAATTCTTAGATTTTTTTTTTCTTTATCCTAAGAGGAAAGCAGCTGGAGACCTGAGGTGAAGAAATAAATGCCATATTGATAATGTAGATAGGTAAGAAAAATAACCTATTGGTATGCAGAATGGAGTGGAAGTAGAAACTGAACAAATCTGGAAGCTTGGTTGCAACAGAAAAGACAAAGAAGTTGAAGAGTGATGTGTTACAAAGGGATTTTATATGTTAGCATGAACTGCCAAGTTAAGTCTTCAGAAGTTATTCTACTTAAAAACTACTCAAACCATGATCTACCAGCATGGATAAACGTGGGATAGTCCTGATGTTTCGTTAAATTTGTAAGTTTCCAGTAGCACAGCTATCTTGGCTACTTTTTTGTATGAATTAAAATCAGATTAGTTTTTGTAAAAAGCCAACTTAAATGTATTGCAATCATGTTAAATTCATAAACTCATGGAATTTAATAATAGAACATGGATGAACAAAGTGCATTGTACATGTCCTTCAGGTGTATTTAAATTTTCTTCATAGAGCGCTAGGCATTTTTCTAGGTATTTTATATGCATTACCTCATTCAATCCTCAAAACAAATTTTTAACCGAGCTGTTTGAGAGTAAATTTCAAATATAATCTTTATCCCCAAATGCTTGTTTATCTCTTCTTAGAACATTCTCTTACAATGAAAGAAGAATCAATTTCAGGAAATGTATGAAGAAATTTTTTTTGTGGTGCCTTTGCCTACTGTTCAACCTTTCTGAATTACTGTATGGCTCATAACAACGACTGAGTTAATTTTTGGGTAATGCAATATGAATATATTGGCTTTCTTAAAAAAGTTATTAGGGGGAAGGAAGGGAGAAAGGGAAACGTCAATGTGTGGTTGCCTTTTGCACGCCCCGCACTGGGGACCTGGCCTGCAACCCAGGCCTGTGCCCTGACTGGGAATTGAACCAGTGACCCTTTGGTTCACAGGCTGGTGCTCAATCCTCTGAGCCATACCAACCAGGGCTGAATATATTGTCTTTTAATGGGTGGTTTTTTATCTCATTTCATCCCATGCCAGCTGTGTATATGTGCAGTTATTCAGGAAGTAGGAAAATTCACATATTATTCCTAGTGGTTATCTTTCATTTAAACCTCATAATATCTTTTTTAAAAAATTTTTTACTTATTTTTAGAAGGAGGGGGAGGGGAGGAGAAAGGAGAGAAACTGACCAGTTGCCTTTTGCACCCACAACCCGGCATGTGCCTCCACTGGGAATTGAACTGGCACACAGGCCAGCACTCAGTCCACTGAACCACACCAGCCAGGGCCATTGTTTTTTGTTTTCTTTGGTGTCTCTTTGGGATTGCTTTTGCTTGCCTTTATATTTCTTATTCTCTAGTCCTTTCATTGTTTTCTCTTGATTTTCTTTATTCTACTCCCTATCTCCTTTTTACTGAGTTTTTCTTACTTTCTCCCTGTCCCTCCCATTTTGCCCTCTGTCTTGGCTGAGTTTGGCAAACTCACGTTTAAACGTGAGAAGCTTAGCTCCTGCAGTCTTGCAGTATTCCCCCTTGGTCCCTGCCTTTGATTTCCTTAGACTTCAGTGTCCTTCATACTCTTGCCTAACTTTTGACTCTTCAATGACAGTTTTGTTTAGTGTTATCCATTCTTTCCTTACTTAAAAATCACAGTTGGTATTCTGTTAGAGAGTAGTATTTGATAGTGGCTAAGGATGTATATGCCTGAGCTCTGCTTACTAATTGTGTAACCTCAGGCAAATCACCTAATGTCTCAGATAATGTTTTTGTATTCCTATGAAGATTTTTGAGCTTAGTTTGAGGACACAGTTACTTGCAGTTTGATTATGTAGGCTTTTTAGGTAGGATCAGAGCAGCTTCTAGTCTGGGGCTAATTATTCCCCACAACTAAGACAGCACATCTGAGTGCTGCACCCATGAATTCTATCGTTTTTCATTCTGGCGAGTGGGAACAGGCCCTATTTCTGACCTTGTGTGAGCACTGTGTACTGTTCCTCTATGCTTAGCCAGGGAGGTCCTTTCTCTGGTCCTTGGTAGTTTACTGACACAAACTGATCACACAGCTGAAGACTCAGGGAGAACTCTGCAGGTCTCCAGAGCTCCTCTCTGCCTGGCTCCCTCTGCTCTCACATTGTCTTGTAAATTTCTGCCTATCTTGGACTCCCAGCAACATCTCCCATCTCAGAGACTGCTGGGCTCTGCTGGGTTTCCTTGCTGTGCTGTGGCTTAAAACTATTCAGACCATAGGCTGGGGCAATTGCGGGGCTTGCCTCATGTTTCCCAAAGGGCGGGAACCACTTCCATTGCCTGATATCTAGTGTGTTCAAACACGTTATCAAGTACATTTTATACTGTTTTTTCATTGTTTCAGGAAGAGGCTAAGTCTGGTCCCTGTTATTCCATCTTGGCCAGAAGTCCTTACTGTATATCTTAATTTGAGTGAATCACATTTCAAGTGTTCAGGAGCCACATGTGACCAACAGCTATCATTGGATACAGGAGGGCTAAGACTGAGAATCTAGTTGAGAGCCATGAATTAAGAGTAAAATAATTCTTCAGTGTGACATTTTCTCTCAGTTATAAACAAGAATAGTAGTAGATGCTGTAGATTATAGCATTCATGTGTCCAGGGTGTGAGGTTTGCTCAGCAGGTGAGATGGAAGGACAGATTCTACTGGTAAAATGTTCAGCTGTTCAACTGGGATCCAGACCAGTTAAGGAAATAAGAGACTGAGGCAGATCGGTGACGAGGAACTAAAGATGGTATGAGACAGGGTGACTGAGCTAAGGATCACTCCTTGTGAATTTGGAGGCCCTAGGATTCTGAGATTCCTCAGGTGCTCATCTATGCAAATATTTAAAGATAGCAGCTATTTACATGTGAAAGAAATAGAAGATTTTGTGTTCAGCTAGAGTCTTAAAAGCAATAAACATAATTTTTTAAAATACTGATGAGTAATACAAATAAGAGGTGTCTCTGAACCTTTTTAACATCAAAGGAAAATATGCGAAAATGCTAATACCCAATTTTCTAAATTTTCTCAGAAGCGCATTGATTCAGAAAGCGCTTAATAGCAATCCAGTAAATGTGTCAGGTTACTGGGTAGACAGAGGTTTTTTTTCTTTTTTGTTTAAAATTGTTCAAGTACAGTTGTCTCCATTTTCCCACCACTACTTTTCCCTGCCACACCCACCCCAAAAGATTGTCCCGAAACATCATTGTGTAGTTGCCTCTTGCGCACCCTCTGCTGGGGACCTGGCCTGCAGCCCAGGCATGTGCCCAGGCTGGGAGCCAAAAAGAAATCTTCCCACCTGTTAGAATGGTTTATCAAAAGGAAAAGAGATTAACAAATCCTGGTGAGGATGTGGAGAAAAGGGAACCCTAATGCACTGTATATGAGAATCTAAATTTCTACAGCCACTAAGGAAAACAGCGTGGAGGTTCCTCAAGAAATTAATACTACATTCCTGGCTGTTGTGGCTCAGTGGATTGAGTGACAGCCTGCAAACCAAAGGGTCACCCGTTCAATCTAGGGCACATGCCTGAGTCGTGGACCAAGTCCGCAGTGGGGGATATGTGATAGGTAACCACACATTGATGTTTTCCTGTCTCCCTTCTATAAAAATAAAATCTTTTAAAAAATTACAACTACCATGTGATCCAGCAGTCCTACTTCTGGGTATATCTCAAAGGAAAGGAAATCACTAACTCCAAAAGATACCTGCACTCCATGATAAATGCAGCATTATTTGCAATAACCAAGACAAAAACTTGCCTGTTGACAGATAAAATGTTATATACTATAGTGTTCAGCCATCAAAAAGAAAATCT